AACGGCGGCCAATCGTTCCTCTACTATAGGGAATGATGGGGGTGGTGGGTGGGGTCTTGTATTCACATCTCCGGAGATTCTATAGTTCTCTCGTTTTCTTTGAGGTAATTTCAATATGGTCCCTAAAATGTCGATTATTTCCTTATTGGGACCTCCGCACTCCTCAGTATCTTTTAGAGCCGCTTTTTGATGACGAGAGCTGGCCACTCACTACCTAGTAGGGGTGCACTTTGTCGCAGCGGACATCAACCTCGTTTCCATTAAAAAAATTGAGGAGGAGGAGGACTCATTTTGCATTCTCAAAAGCTCTTTGCCGATTTCGCATTTCCCCACGCTATTTCTTGCTCTTTTTTATCCTAAAGGTGTGGTTTGAAATCAATGAAGAATGATAACAGGCAAAAACGGTGGTTGTGTTATTCGGCATGGGCGCTGAGGTCCCGGGCACGGCCTCGATGGGCCTGGATCTGGACGTTGGGGACTAGGGGACGGACACTAGGGTTGCGGGCACGGCTTCTATAGACCCAAGTTCGGCATCAATGGAACGAGGCGCAGGCGCAGGGGACTCGTGCATGGGCACAAAAGTCCTGGGCGTGGCCCTAATGGAACCGGGCTCAGGAGTCGAGGACCTGGCACGGGCGTCGGAGTCCGAGGCTCGGCCTCGATGTTGTTGGGCCTAGCATCCCTGGCAAGGGCACCGAAACCGGTGTCTCAAAGCTCGGTCTTGGTGGACCTGGGCACAACCTAGATGGACCCGAGCTGGCCTCGATGGACCCAGGCTTAGGCTCTAGGGACCTGGTCCCAACCTCTCGGGCTCGAGAACGAGTTTGGGGTTCTTGTGTCTAAGTGCATAGTTTTTGGTCCATGTGCCGATATCTAGTCATATTTTAGAAAATGATTTTCAATTTTTCAAAGAAAAAATCATTTTCCTTAATCTGAGCTTTGGTAAGAAAACATTTTTTGTTGACTAGGAAAACATTTTCCGTTGACTTATTTCCCAAGCGATCCAAATCCCAAAAAATGACGAAAATGTTTTTTGCGAATCAAATGGAGCCTAGGTGAAAGAGATTTTTTTTTCTTTTTAAATGCAAATAGTATTTGGTAAAGTGTAATTTAAAAATACATTAAGAAACAACCTTGATTTTGATGCTGTTTGGAAAAAAAATTACACTTCGAAAAGACTTTAGCTAGTTCTTTTATAAAAAGATCTCAAACCTTTGCGGCAAGCTAGATTTAGCACCGGCCCGAGGAGGCGCGAACCCAGACGACCGTTGCCCGGGGTCATGGGCCGACGAATGTAAATGCAACAGTGGAGCTCCTTAGTCATCATCACAGAACGTAGCAAAGGCTGACGAATTCGGGTGGTCAGGAGCTTATATTTGTTTCTCGTCCCCTTCTCTTCCCTTCTCCTCCCGCAATTCTCACCAAGGCAATCGAGTCTCTTTGCCGAAACATTTCGTTAATATTCGCAACAATCTCTATATTTTTTTTTAACGATTGCACCTTAAAAATCGTCGGAACACTCCGCTAATCTCTAGCGATCGTGGCAGTTTCCTATAATTACTCAAAAGAGAATATGCAAATCTGGTGCTTCAAAGTTCAGATGTGAGGTCTTGAGTGAGGAATTCATCGATCACGACACATTTTCCTATGCTTATAATCACGCAACATGATGCATGCCACTGAGCCGAGCTTTGTCTCATTCCCGGCCTTGGCCCGAACAGGCTGATCGATGGTGGCCCAATTCGCGAGCCCGTGACCACGAGATTGTAAGAAGACCAGTGACCTTGAGAGTGCAACAGAAGTGTGCATGTAAAATTTTCAATCTCGAACACTGTCCCTTTTGCTCATTCCGTCCATTCATCAGAAGAGCAAGCCGTTAAGTAGATTTCGCGGTTTTCTCGACTATCTCGCTTCTGTAAGCATGCGCATGCTGTCCGGGCACTCCTAATTAACGATATGCAGCAGTCGAATGCATATGTGTTCGGTCGATATACATCTCGTCTCAAGAAGCCATGATGTGTTGTTGTGTTCAAGCCGTGGTGGTGGTTTTGGTGGCAATAAGTCATGGCTGTTTGGTATGGCGTCACAGGCGGAGAAGGTGGATTGTCATGGCGTTAACACTGGTACGAAGCCGGAGCCGGAGCCGGTCGTAGATAGTAGACGGCGATGGTGGTGACTGGAACGACGAGGTGTGATACCGATGCAACGGTGCCTATAGTCTAGGAGGAATGATGAGATCAATAATCTTCTCTTGGATATCGTTTGACAATTCCGTTATCTTATCCTCTCCGCACGTTGACTTTCCTCTTTACGTTAAAATGGCTCAATCTATCTTCACGTCCATATGGATCCTTATATATATTGTTGATAGATGGGATAATGACATAAATAGTCCTTGAATTTTGATTCAATGTGTAATTTGATTCGTGAATTTTTAATTTGTTTAATATAGTCCTTGGACTTTAGCCTAATATTCAAAGTGGTCCCTAAACTGTTGATTGGTTCAATGTGGTCTCTGAACTTTTGATACATGTTTAATTTAGTCTCTGAACTATATGAAAATATTTACTGTAGTCCCTGAACTTGAATTAATGGAAGAACTACATTGAACATTTTCATATAGTTTATGGACTAAATTGAACATATCCCAAAAGGTTAGGGACTATATTGAATAAATTAAAAGTTCATACACCAAATTATACATTGGGCTAAAATGCAGAGACTGTTTGTGCTATTTTCCCTTGATAGAACCAAGGACATGGCGGGTAGGATCAAAGTTATTTTGTCTTGTACGTCCCTATGATCAAATTGAACCTTTCTATTTGTTCTTATCGTAAAAATTGTTCAAAAAGTTGTAAACTTGTTGCATTTTTGCCAATTCATTTCTAAATCTTTCAATTTTACCAATCGAATTCTCAACATTTTCATGTTTTGCCAATTGATTCCATCCGTCCAATTTTGGCCGTTAAAGTGAACAGCCTACATGGCACGGCTAGTGCTTAGGTGAACAACATTTTTTTCTAGTTGTTTTATTTTTATTTTCGTTTTTTTTCCTTTGGTTTTTTTTTTTCTGTGTCGCCGAGGGTTATCTATGACTAGACATGGCCACAGGTCGATTTTGGCCCGGAACCGGCCCGGGTCAAACCCGGGACCGACCCGTTGACCGAGCCCGGTTCAGGTTCCAAAAAAAAAAAAACTTTGATTACATTTTAAGTTCAAGCCCCATCTCTTTCTCTCTTTTTTCCCCAAATTTGATTACAATGTACATTTTGATTACATTTTATATTGAATAATTCATTATTTCATAATTTGATAATTCATAATTTATTTTTTTAATTTTTATCGGCCGTTTCCGAATCGGGCCGAAACCGAAATCGGAACCGGCCCGGAACCGCCGGTTCCAGTTCATACTTGGCCACGAACCGAAACCGCCGGTTCCAAACCGTGGCTATGTCTATCTATGACCCTTGCTAGCTGCGCCCTCACCTAGGGGCATCGCGGCCCCGCCAACTACAAGCCTCCTTCGCGGCCCCGTCGGCCGTAGGCAAGGTGGCCCTCTCTAAGATCTAGTGAGAGCCTTCGTGCCCTCACTCGTGGTCGGCGAGGCCTTCGTGGCAGGCGAGTCACCGTCTTCTAGCTTTCGTGGGTACCTTGACAGACCAATTGCCGATTATAACAAGTCGTATTGAAACACATTTTATTGCAATTTCTATAGAAAGCATGGGGATATATAAATTCTTGAAATTTTTTTCAATGAAGGGCTTATATTTATTTATTTGGAATTCTAGACACAGTTTGTTTCGCAGAAACCATTATTCTTATTTCTTGACGTTTGGATCGCTTAGAAACACGAGTCAATTGAAAATGTTTTCGCACAAAAATTTAAATTCAGGAAAATGATTTCTAGTTTCCATACATGATTAAGTATCGACACTTGGGCACGGAAAGCCAATGCTCGTTCGTGTGCCCTAGGCAATGGGATCGGGTCCCCGTCACTTGTGCCTAGGTCCATCGAGGTTGGGCCTGGGTCCATTTAGACTACTCTCGAGCTGGTCGCCGTGCTTGGGTCCATTGAGGTCGGGCTTGGGATGCCAGGCTCAATAATATTGAGGTCGGGCCCCAGACCCTAGTGCCCATGCTTGGGTCCTCAACTTCTAAGCCTATGTCCATCTTGGCCAAGCACGGGACTCTTGCGGCCAAGTCCCTTACACTTGCGCTTTGGTCCATTGATGCTAGGCCCGGCCCCAGACTCCAAGCCTCGATGGCCTCGATGGACTCGGGCATGGGTGCTAAGATCCTGGGTTTGACTTTGATGGACCTGGGTATGACTGTAGGGGACCGGGTGCCGGGTATGAGGCTTGGTCTTAATGGATCCGGGTGTGGGTATCTGTACCGGAGTTTTGGGCCCAGCCTCAACTGACTAAGGCTTGGATGCCGGGGTCTCGAGCTTGGGTCCTACCGAGGCTTAGGCGTTGGGGACTTGGGTCCGACCTCTATAGACTGGGGCGGGGTGTTAGGGAGTTGGCACAAACAATAAGTTCTCGAGCTTGATTTCGGTGGATCCAAGATCGTTGCCTATGCTCGTGCCTGGGAGCTGGGGATCCGAGCTTGACACTCCGATGCTCGTGCCGAGTTCCTTGGCTACCTATGTACAAGCCACTAGCGCTCCGAAAATGTGTATGCCTAGTCAGGGATCTTCCTTACCAAAAGATGGAAAATATTTTTCAGTTTATTTTCAGGTCACAAATAAAAACACCGAGAAACATTATTATTTTCCCAAAAAATTAATCCCCGGAAAATATTTTTCAAAAACCGTCACATCCTTTTCCTGTGGGTTCGGAAAATCATGATCGGAATAGCGGACCAAAGGCTATGGAACTTAGGTGTGGGCTCAACAAAAGCCCTAGAATTTTCTAAGCTTATGAAACTGGATCCTAGAGAACCCGGGAACGCAGTGGTGGAGGTGAATCGCTGGGGACGTGAATGCAAGAGTGAATCTCGGGGTAGCGGCCCTCGGCCGCACGTTGAGGATCATACATCTGATGACTACCGCCACCTCCACCATTTTGTTTAAATCACATCATCGATACTAGCAACAAACTCTTCCCATTCATTCGTTTGATCCAAGCTCTTTGGCTTATAGCTCAGCTCCCTCCCTCTTTCGGGCGTTGCGCGAGCGACTGTGCGGAGCAGAGTTCCGAGAGGCAGAAGAGACGATGCGCATCTCGAGGCGGAGCCACCCACGCAAAGCCGCTCGCTCCGTCCGGCGCCGCCGGTCTTAGGTCCGGGGAGCCTGCAGCGACGGAGAGTGTGGGGGGATGATGATGGCGATCGGGATCGGATCGGGGGGAGCCTTCTCGCGGCCCTCCGCGGAGGAGCTGTGGCGGTCGAACGCCGGTGGCGGGTGGGCCACCGCCGCCGCCCTGCTCCTCGTGCTCCTCTGGCATTGCCGGGGGAGGCTGAGGCTCTTCTTTGGCTTCCTCTTCCGGTCTACGCTCCCCTCCGCCTCCTCCTCCTCCTCCTCCTCCGCCTCCGCCTCCGCCTCCGCCGCGTCTCCCCAAATCGGGTGAGCTATTCCCGTTCCTCGTGCTGCTTTTGATGTTTTCCTTCTGAATTTTCTTTCTGGGAGGAATTTGACTGGAAGTTTTCTGCTTCCGCAGCGGATTCTTGGAGACCGTGTCGGACGATGATTTGAGGTTTCTGATTCGGAATTTGGACGAGAGCAATTGCAATGAGGAGAGATGGGAGGATGTTGTCCAGAAAAGGAATAGCCTGGTCTCGTACTCCGCCAAGTGCTGTAGACCGAAGGTTTCTCCTGCTTCGATGTCATACTCTCCCATGCATTTCACGTGTTGTTCCGTTGGGTGGCGAGATTATTCAGTCCTGCTTGCATGTCGAGAGATGTTCTTAGGAAAGGAGAGGAGGAAATTGTACACCAGTATGATGATGCTTAGGTGTCGCATATTCCCTCAGTACTTGCTTGCCATGCCATTAAAATCAGCACAACCGCCATTGTTATATCATCAATGCTTTACCTTTGGCTTCCATTTGAACCTTGGAGATGGATGTTTGTTGCGAACAAGGGTGTTTGCAGTTAGCATTCCTTCGCCGCTATGGAATTTGGCTGTAAACACTGTTTCTGACCAGGTCTCCGTATTCTCTTTGCTCTTTAGTTCACGGAAATGGTCATATAAGAACTCGAGAGCAGCAGCCCGTGTAAAATTGTTCAAGTTAGGACAGCGAACTGTCATACTTTCTTACGTTAGTGAGCAACTCCTTGGTCAAACAGGGGAAGGCAATCATTTCATTAGTGGCCCGATGCATGGATAAATTGTGCATCCCAAATCTTTAAGGACCAAGAATTCGGATTTAGGCCTAATGGGTCTTTTTGGTGAAAGTTCAATCTGCATCGTTTAGAAACAAAAGGTATGTCAATTTAGTTTTGCTAAATGGAGAGGCGCTACGTGTCTTTTATCTTGAGACTCTTTCAAGGTGAGAGCCTGGCGTGCTACCTAAGAAAATGTGGAAGACATACGTTGCAACAATATAATTGGGAAAATGAGCGAAAAAAGTTCATAAATTTGGAAAGAAAAGGACACTATAGATGTCCAAAATGGCTGAAGCAACCTTAAACCTAATGCCAAAGATATTATTGATACCTACAAAAAGGAGTGCTTTATTGGGTGTAAAGGGACAAGGAGTACCCCATTGAGTGGTTATGTATTAGGATGTATCATTATAATTCGTAGTGCTTGATCATATTATTTTACTTTTGACTGAATGATCTCATCATCAGAGTCAATCTCAGGAAGTGCGTCTGCTTCTTTATAGGTGTAGTGACAATATCTTTGCTTTTATGAATTTCTTGAGCTGATTGTGAACAATCTCTTGCCTTTTTGTTTTTGGTTGCTTACAGGATGGCCCCTTGAAATACCTGAGTGTGACAGAATTTGAGAATTGCTCTCCTGAATTGCTGAGAGACTTTTACATGGACAATTTTTACAGGCAGCAATGGGACAAAACTGTTACTGAGCATGTCCAGTTGCAGGTGGATGTAAATAATGGAACTGAAATTGGTCAAACAATTAAAAAGTTTCCACTGTTGACAGCCAGAGAGTATGTATTGGCTTGGAGGCTGTGGGAGGACTCAGATGGAGCTTTCTACTGTTTTACGAAGGTAATTCATGCATCTCTATGTTCTGGTAACTCTCTGAATTGATGAGCTTTCTCTTTTTCAATGATGGAATCTTTTGAATAAATTACTTGCATACAACTAGATTCTCTCTCTCTCTCTCTCTCTCATTCATGCTCGCCATACTTGTTGTATTGCATGACAGGACCGTATGGTTAGGAGATCATATGGCAAGAGCTTTCGGTCCAACAGTCAGAACTTGAAACTAATACCACATGTCACTTGCCCTTTATTTCTGTACCAAAGTAATACTAAATTTCTTCCTAATTTCTGAAGGTTTATTCAGGAGTTCAGTCTTGAGAATACTTTTGATGGGATGACTGCCTATATTGGTTCATTGGTTCATTTCCATTTCAGAAATAAATTCATGTTTCAGCTCATTTGATGCCAAGGAAAAATGATTTGATTGTTTGGTGAGACTTGGATGATACAATATGTTTAGTTAATTGGCATAAGGCCTCATAACTTTTGACTTTGCTGCTTCATCTTCTTGAAACGGTAATTTGGTGAGCTGAAGATTATATCAGGAGTTTATCATTTTGATTCTCCGTGATTGTGACCATGGTGCTTATCATAGTTGATTCAGTAACAAACCACCAAAAGAAATGTTGTTAAAATTGTGGAACTCATTGGTAAGATCGGTCTAGAACAAGGCGGAGGGAGGCAACTACAAGGTGATTGAACAAATATTTTTGTCAAAGTACTATATTGTAGTTATAGCAAGTCATATATGTTAAAAAAAAAAGAAAGACTGTCAAGTTTTGGGTGCGTGTCCTTAAAGCTCGATTATCACATTTCACAATGAGTTTTCTTGAGAAGAGGTGTGCAAAGGAATACAATAAATTGGATCGGATTTTGCAGTTTTTTCTTCTGCAGTACCTCCACGTGACATGAGCGTGAAAGGGATTCAAGAATCAGTTTTCTTTTTATAAGGGCTATAATCATTATTTTGGCTGTTTGACCCCATATTGTTGGGTGGATCTCCAAAGATATGAAAGAAAGTTCTCCCTCTAAGCCGTATGTACATACGAATTTCATTGAATATGGCTTTCCATAGAATTCGATATGTATCCGTGAGATCGAGTATGGAATTCTGTTTACTCACTTGAAATTGAGTATCCGTTTCCCTCCCTTTCCTGCTCAGATTGGAAATCCTGGCAAGGAAAGCTTTTCATCGATATGTATTCTAGCAAGGAAAGCTTTTGACTTTTCTGAAGTTTCATATGGACAAGACTACTCCTTCCTTTAGAGGCTTCTCTAAGGAGGACTCGAGACTTTGTGCGAGAGGGAAGGGAGGAGTGTCTTGTTACTGGCTTACTTGTCTTTATCTTTATTTGGGCTTACCAAGGAGTTATGGGTTCAACACCAGACTGTGCTCTATATTTTGCTATCCTAAGTGCAAAGTGTGTTGTCACATCAATTCCACGGCTTTTATAACGAGGCTGCAATTATCCCCAGGTGTCGCTACTTTTTGAAGGCTGTAGAAACATGAATATTAAGTGATGTCTCAACTCTGGGTGCTATAACAGGTCCGAAAGATCTTTCAAATCGGTGGTTTGTTGTAGATAGGGACTGGTTTGACGATGTGCACCTAGAGCCTAGAGGAGAGTTGATACTCCAATTTCCTTGCTGCCGGCAAGGAAAGTTATGTGACCATATCAAGTTGTGGTGACTAATATTTTGGTCTTCTCAATTACCCTGCAATATGCTAGAGTAATTGAGATTTTAAGAATCATACACGTGATCAGGAATAGGTATCTATGGCCTTCTTATGTTGAACTTACTATTGATGAGAAGACTTTGTATTTGACGATAAAGGCCTTGTTCATTTATCTTCTTCAACCATTACCAGGAATGTCAACATCCCTCAGCACCACAGCAGCGGAAGTATGTTCGTGTTAAGTACTTTAGATCAGGATGGAGAATCAGGAAAAGTATGTTCTCAAACTTCTTGTTCTAGCGATATTTCTTTTCCTTGATAATAGATTCTGTTTGAAGCTTCATTGACTGGGACAATAACTCAAACCCTTAGTGGGTGTTTGATTGTTTGGTGTGGCTTGTGCACTGACCTTTCTGCCTCTTATTAACTTTTAAGAGTTGGAAATCAGTTTTCCATTTTATGTTGAAAATCTCAAATATGTTTAAAAGAATTATAACTCCATTAAAACTAAAATAATCTATTATTCTTAGCAAGAAATTCATGAGGGGCTTTTGGAATGTCTTTGGGTTTAAATTTTGCTTTTAGCCTTAGGCAATTTCACTCTTATATGATATTGCCTACCTGAAATCCTTATGACAGATAGATATTGACATTTAAAGTTATTCGAAATCGTGTAGATTCTTTTCAATTATATTTTAAAAAATTAAAGTAGATAATCATTTTTCTGTGAAAAAGCCCAACGGCAGCTTTTAACTTTTAGAAGTTGAGGCAAACATGCACTGCATGTCGACTACCTTATATCAGCAGGCTTATGGGCTTTTGCTTCATTCATGAATCTCTTTCCCCCCTGCTTTGCAGTTCCTGGCAGGAATGCCTCTGAGATTGGAATGTTCCATCAAGAAGATGCTGGTTTAAATGTGGAAATGGCAAAGCTGGCTTTCGCAAAGGGGATATGGAGTTACGTGTGCAGGATGGACAGTGCATTACGCAAATACTCATCGAGTCATCTGCAACATGGCTCATCTCTCAGTGCTGTCACTTTTATCCAGAAGGTCTGACAAAGAGATTAATTTGCTAACTTTAGTTTTCTAGGTCGTGGTTAGTTTCACCATAACCTGATTACCTGCTCATACATGATAAACAGAAATAGGGGTACTTCTGATTTTACGGTGGTCACTAGATTCATTGACCTCCTTGGTTCCAAGAAATGAGCTTACGCTGCTCTATCCTTTACCTATTTTCTCGTTTCATCTGCAAGCAAAGTCTCCCGAAATTTTCTACAGGGTGGCTGATATGTGCTTTTCTCCCACTCCTAGGTACCTCGTGAACTACAAATGTCAAGCAGCGCTAACTCTTCATCTGTGGCTGCAGCACCTTCAGTTCGTGTTGAAACAATCAGTGAAAAGAAGAAACTATTGAGAAGACCATCTAAGAAAGCACTTGCCAATGGTTTTCTTCTTCTAGGAGGTATCATTTGCCTGACTCGTGGCCACTCTACGCTTGGAGCTAAAGTAGCCGTCGGCTACGTGTTGACAAAACTGACTAAACGCGGTGCTTCTTCCAGTCAAAGACTGCAGAACTGAGGTACCGTGACCTAAGAAGTTGCTGGAACTGTATTGAAGGTCTAACGAGCAAAGTACATTTCGTTACAACACTAGGCTGATCTATTGGTACGACGACCACCAATTGGATGGTGTAGAAGAGGTGAAAAAGAGAGGTGCATGGGTTAGATTACACAGAGCAGAAAGAGAAAGAGATCCTTATTAAAGTTTTCGTAGTGTTTGGTCAAATGTATGTAGTTACCTGGAACAAGACTTACCAAATCCACACAACAGAATTGTCAGCTTTTATGCACAAATAGCCCATTCTAAAACTGCATTGTCTGCGCTGCAAATAATCCTTGATGATGTGTAAATCATATGATACGGCATTCTAATGTTGTAATCCTTTATTTAGTCTTTAACATTTTAGATGTTATGATATCTGTATACTACTTTCCAGATGATAATAGAGTGGTGGAGGAACAGCGAGAAGCAGTTGGAGTCGTCTTTGTACTCTTCTTGTGGGACAAAGAGTATGAGATGGAAGTGTCCGCTGGGTTTGAGAAGTATATCATTGGCAATCGGTCATGAAGTCCCTCCCCATGGAAAATTTGCGGGATTGTGCATCTGCTTCTCTTGCAAGAACATATTTCTGGTTTGAAATTGCAATTTGCTCTGTGATCACCTTTCCGTTTTCTCAGGTTCTACGACAAGCCTTCCTGCGATGGCAGAGTTTGCATCGATCAAATTTAGAAGCAAGTCTCATGTTCCGGATGACAGAGAGCGAAATTCTCAGGTCTTATAACAAGCCCTCCAGCGATGGCGGAGTTCGCATAGGTCAAATTTTGGAAGTAAGTCTCATGTTCCCAACTGGCATACGGCCAAATTCCCAACTATTTTTGTGGCCCTCGCGAAAATCAACAACATCGCCTGTTGCTGGCTGCTGCGAGGAAAACCGAGGTAAACATTCGTGTCAGTTTATGAGTGATCGTAGCCCTACTCTGATGAGTTGATCTTGTTTGAATAGAGTAGATTTGCCATTGTACACGTCATACATATCAATTCACAGCATGCTCCAAACGACTTGGCTTAAGCGAAAAGAAAGCATTTTGTACTGATCTTCAATTTTGAGTTCACTGAAAACGAAATTTATGCTTTTTTGACTTGACTTTCGTGTTGGGTTGTTGTTGAACAACTAGAGAATGAGGACTATATTCATAATTCGTTCTTTGAATTGGGTTATTTTATTCCTACGTCCTAATTGGAGAAAAAGACGTTGATGGATGGGTTACAATTTTTGGATTAATTAATAATACATTTGGGTGTTATTCATATTTGTAATCTGCCAATCATAAAATATCTAGAGGAAAATATGTTTTTTTTTAATTGTGAAGTGTCATCATTTCCTCAAAGAAGTATTCAAGTGACAATTAGGAATCGACGAAATAGAAATCATAATAAAAGGACTGTAAGACTAATTAAATGTCGAATTTTTAGTTGGAATTAAATCCTCAAAATAACTGTTCTTATTTTGTAAGACGTAATTCTAAAGGTCGGGATTACGTTATTCTAAACTTTGATTCCATATCTTTGTGAAACAAACGAGGCCTTTAAGGTGATGCAGTCTCATAAAATGTGTTGCCAAATATACGTGTTACGTACTATACGACTCTTTTGTTTACTAAGATTGTGCTACAATACCATTACATGTATACCAAATAGACCAGTTTAACAACGATGATACGGAAGCTTCGCGGTATTTAAGTTCGAGATTGATTTATAAATGTCACACGACACTTGTTAGTCCAACTAACCAAGAAAACATCGGTGCAATCAAGATAGAGTTTTGTATGGCACGGACTTTCAATGAACTTAAAAGATCCCTCAAGTTAATGTGTAATTGAGCTTGTTGATAGCCAAGAAGAAAATGTGTTATTGAGTTGCCGTTTGAAAATGGAAATGTGTGAATACTTGCAAATACATTATGCATCCAAGCATAAATTTGAGCAAGATTATCAAGCGATCGACGGATTGCTAATGTGTATATAGTATAATACACACGTTAGATAAGAATAAAGCAGGGCCGATTACTTGCAGCGCATGAAATACTTGGATGGCTAGGGTTGTTACATGAAAAAAAAAAATATCGTCATGAATGGATTAACAAGTGAGACAATTACCACTAAATTCAATCAACCCGATGACCTGATGTGTAGCATATCGGATCTTTGTGATATTGAAGACGAACATATCTATAGATATAGGGGTGTCTATGGTTCCGTTTGGTCCCGAGCCGAACTGTTTGGGTGTGTATTGACTTTGAACCCAACCGCGGTTCGGTACGGTTTTTTGGTTTTCTTTTTCGTAAAATTAAGAAGAAGTTTAGCGAAAAAGGAGAGAAAATATGTAAATTGTAATATTAAGAAGATGGACGGATATCAATTCGGTTAGGTAACACCTAAACTATCCAAACCGGAACGAGAAACGGCTATCTTGTCTTTATCCTAACCAAAACTCGAATCAAGCCCAAAATGGACAAAATTTGGGTTGGATTTCGATTTTGCTTCCGACGCCCCTGGTCAATAATATGCATAAAAGGTGGGATCAATGACTCATCTATCCCGTGAAGAGAAAAAAGGAGCAGACCAAAACAAGATTTACGGACATCGCCGTCGCTGGATTTTTTGTTTTTTTTTTTTGTCTTGTTTTGACTTCTCTCACGTCACGTGGATAGAAAAAGGAGGAGTGGAGGCTAAAGATAGCAGGTGGCGGACGGTCTTACTTGTACGGCCCCGGCTACTCCGTGAGGAGGCAAATTTGGGAGTTCGACCCTGAGGCCGGCACCGCCGTGGCGGCGGCTCCACGTCAAGCCCCTTGGGGACCGCCTCTTGCGCATGCACATACATAACACATACCGAGCACCCGAACACCCACACACGCGCGCGTGCTCGTTCTCATTCGGAGCTGGTCCATTATATTGTTTGAGCTTGGGCGCGCTGGAAAATCAAGTCGCAGTCTGTAGGGCTCGAGAGACACGTACTGAAGTACAAGCGCCGCCTTACGGGAGGGCTATACGCGCCAACCTAACAATCCGTTGAAACCATCAAGGCTAAATGTCGGGAGGGTCAAGGCCCAAACATTACTTTGGGCAAGATGGTCAAGTGAATGACCAATTGAATCCGATTGCTCGTCCATTGGGAGTAGGCAGATTTTTCCGCAACCAATTATTGACTAATACAATTATGTACATAGTATAATCCACACGATGAATCATGCTGGGACTAGGCAGATCAAGCCGCCACCAATTATCGACTGATACAATTATGTACATAGTATAGTCCACATGATTAGCTTGGTTGACAACAAGACAGAGATGACGGTGGCGGAATCGGTAGTATGAGATGATAGTGCGAGAGAGGGGTTTAACTAAATTATAAGTGTTGACAAGGAACGATGATTATATCACGAGTTTTTAGGAACTCATAAATGCCAATTCCATCACCAGATGCGAGATTTTTTGCGAGATCTCGTAATTTGAATGGTTATGTAACTTTTTCTCATCTATAAGATTGTTAATATAAACCGATAATAACATCATTCTTATATATTGTTATAGTAATGCCGAGCTTCTCTCACATACTTTTGAGAACGGTTTACATCCGTTCGTATCCCACATCGTGTAATTTTCATCCCGTTCATAGGACCTGTTTGGTTCAACTTTGAAAATGCTACTTGGGGAAATGCAAATACCTTTGGGTGAAAGCCTATTGAGGAAATGCAAATGGTGTTTGGTAAAAATATTTTGTAAAGCTTCTTTGGTCAAAATATAGTGTTTGGTAAATTTTTTTTGCAAATGGACTTTGATAATTATTTTATTTATTAAAAAAAAAAACAAAACCTACCATCGCCGGAGCCGGCCGCCGGCGAGGGCCTACGGTCACCGGCGAGATAGATCTGGCGCCGGCGGCCGTCGCCCGAGGTCAGGCGACCACCGGCGAGCCAGATCTGCCGCCGCCGGCGGTCGCCCGAGGCCAGGCGACCCTTGGCGGGGGTCACACGACCTAGGCGACGGCCGCCTGGGTTGCGCGTCCCAGGCGGCCGTCGCCTGGGTCGTGCGACCCTCGCCGAGGGTCGCCTGGCCTCGGGCGACCGCCGATAGCCGCAGATCTGGCTCGCCGGTGGTCGCCCGACCTCGCCGGCCACCCTCGCCGGCCGCCCTCACCGGTTGCCTGGTGAAGAACAGCTTCAAACCAAAAAAAAATATATATATATATATTGGTGAACAGCAGCATTCGTGGAATGCTGAAAGCCCAAGACTGGTCCGGACAATAACTCAAACCCTTAGTGGGTTTTTGATTGTTTGGTGTGGCTTTTGCACTGAACTTTCTGCCTCTTATTAACTTTTAGAGTTGGAAATCATTTTTCCATTTTATGTTGAAAATCTCAAATATGTTTAAAAAATTATAACTCCATTAAAACTAAAATAATCTTTTATTCCTAGCTAGAAATTCACGAGGGGCTTCTGGAATGGCTTTTGGTTTAAATTTTTCTTTTCGCCTTAAGCAAGTTAACTCTCTTATGATATTGTCTACCTGAAATCCTTATGACAGATAGATATTGACGTTTATTGTCATTCGAAGTCGTGTAGATTCTTTTCAATAATATTTTAACAAATTAAAATAAATAATAATTTTTCTGTGGGGAAGCCCAAAGGCACTTTTTAACGTTTAGAAGTTGAGGCAAACAAGCGTTGCATGTCGACTGCCTCACGTCAGCAGGCTTATGGGCTTTTACTCCATTCATGAGTCTCTTTCCCCCCTGCTTCGCAGTACCTGGCAGGAATGCCTCTGAGATTTGAATGTTCCATCAAGAAGATGCTGGTTTAAATGTGGAAATGGCAAAGATGGCTTTTGCAAAGGGCATATGGAGTTACGTTTGCAAGATGGACAGTGCATTACGCAAATACTCATCGACTAATCTGCAACGTGGTTCATCTCTCAGTGCTGTCACTTAAATCCAGAAGGTCTGACAAAGAGATTAATTTGCTAGCGCTTTAGTTTTTCTAGGTCGTGGTTAGCTTCACCATAAGCTGATTACCTGCTCATACATGATAAACAGAAATAGGGGCACTTCTGATTTTATGGTGGTCACTAAATTCATTGACCTCCTTAGTTCCAAGAAATCAGCTTACGCTGCTCTACTCTTTCCCTATTTTCTCGTTATATCTGCAAGCAAACTCTCCCGAAATTTTCTACATGGTGGCTGATATATGCTTTTCTCCCACTCCTAGGTACCTCGTGAACTATAAATGTCACGCAGCGCTAACTCTTCACCAGTGTCTGCAGCACCTTCAGTTTGTGTTGAAACAATCACTGAATAGAAAAGACTATTGAGAAGACCATCTAAGAAAGCACTTGCCGATGG